GGGGGGAGAACAAGCACCCCCAACAGTTCTTCCATGTCAGGGTCCATTCCCGATTAAGATAGTATATTTAAGACTTTTGTGCTTCACCCATCCACAAAAGCACACAAATTGTACAAACATCGCAACCCACTAAAATCTATCATTGGAAACAATAGTACCTGCAGTTATTTAAAGTGGTACCAGTTTATCATGAAATGTATTTTTAGGTAAAAATGCTTTAAGTATTCTTCCTTACCTGTCAGATGTTTTAGAGTGATTATATTTGCAGCGCTTGTTCTCCCGAGCACTGCTATGAGATCTCTTCTTTCTTTTATGACTGCTGCAGCTCCTCCAACTTCCATAATCCCACTCCTTTTCATCCCAGTCAGGACAGTAGGCTCTCTTTGAGTGTCTCATCTACACAAAAGACAGTTTTTCCCCATTAACATTGTATTCCACACAGTGCTGATACTAAATTTCTTTGCAAATTCACGTGACCCTTTAAACTGTTCATTTAAATCAAGTCATTCAATCTGAAATGCCCTATAAATCCAATTATCCCGTTGTCCCATATTTCAGACTTTAAACTTCATTATTCTGTATTATGACTTTTTTTTTTGTTTTGGGAGTGATTTTTGCTATAGGGCGCGTGCCCGCCAGAGAGACAGACAGAGACAGAAAGCAAGAAATCACCCACAGGAGGGATGGCCCCCGCCACAGTCCCTTCTCCTCCATTCTCCTCAGGATCTTGGGCACGCATGCACAGAAGTTTAAGCCACAGGGTCCGGGACTTGAACCGCGGTCAACTACATGGGAGTCCAGTGACATAGCCATTACACTAACTCCTGGTCCCTGCATTATGACTGTCATACTCAAGATTTATTTGAAGAATGTAGGCAAGGAAAACAGGAGGGGAAGAGAATCTCAATTCATTAACTTTAATAAAATCTTGGTGCTGCCCTGTCAGTAGCTTGAATGTGCTGTAGTTCTACACGTCATCATACATGTCATCTTTCTCTTTTAAAGGTATCAGAAACTGGCCTCCAACTCAAATCTTAAATGTTATGCACCGTCACTGGATTCCCAATTACGCGGACAGTATACACACCATCCAGAATCGTTAGAATGTTTCTGTAAATGGTAAATCAATATAACAAGGACTTTTACTTAATATATCCGTATGTCAACGATGGTAAAACAATCAAAACGACAAAACCCTTCCTAGTTGGAATGTAGAACAGCTCCCCAGCCCTTACCGACACTTAACGAAAACAAGCTTATTCTAATCGCCGATCGATCTTAACACTATCACTTTAGGGGGTGAGAACCTTCCTTTTGGAAAAGCTTCGAACTTGGGGAAAAAAATTTTCATCAACGACGGATCTTACTGCCCGGGCCCCACTACATCTCTGCATACTCTAAACCCGAACGCTCCAACATGGGTGTGGGTTGAAACGTCAACGGATAAAATGTCTGATCACTTTATTTTTCTCTCGACCCTCCTTCGAATTACAGTTATTTCTCTTTTTATCTTAAATCTGGTTTCAGGCCAAGCCACTGCGGGCCAAGGCACTGGAAATTTCCACTCCAACCCCTTCCTGCCAAGTCATTTTGCCCGGTCCTTTTACTGGCTACAGATACATAACCCCGCCTCGGCGAGCTCAACGCACTTTCGAGTCCAAGCAAACGCCGCCCCAGCATGCAGCCTCTCCCTTCGGCGAGAGGGTGAAGGCCGGCCTCCGCCCCGCCGCCATCTTACAGCTCAGCCGAAGCGGTCGCCAACATGGCGCCGCGGGTCCTGACTAGGCCAGCCGTCCCGCTTCCTCTGCGGAAGGCGGCTCCTCGACGAGGGCACCCCGTGCAGCAGACGTTCTCACTAACCCCGCTCGCAAAAGCTGGCGGGACTGACTCGGCAGGGAAGACGACGCGGCTGCATTTGTGCAGTCGGGGGTGAGACCACAGCGACGAATAAGCAGGGAAGAGGAGCACCGCCAGGCGCTGGTGAGGCACACCAGAAGCACCTGGGAGCCAGTCCGCCCCCCGTCGTGTCTTACCGTCCTGGCCAAAGCCGAAGGAGACAAAGCCTCCAACCAGACCGCGGAGAGCGCCCAGCTAACTGCGACGAGCACCGACCACAAAATGGAGCTGACAGGCGCAGCGTCTGGAATGCCCTCAAAAACAGACTACGCGGCCGGCGCATCTCCGCCCCAGGGCGTGGCTACGCGGGCAGGGGGCGTGGCTGCGCGGCCAGAGGGCGGGGCGGGGGTGGCCCGCGGAATCCCTGAGTGCGCAGGCGCCGAGCTGAGAGCCCGAGCAAGTTGACCGGGAGGAAGGGAAGCTAACCTCCGCGGCCTTGATGTACGCCGGAAGTCTGAGAAAAACACCTACAGTACTGGGGAGGAGTCCAGGCCATGGTCGTTGAGAATGTTTGTGAACGCCAAAAAAAGAAGTGAGGAACGCGGAATACAAAATGGCATGTTCCCAAATTACAACCATTAAAACAGTGCTGTTCAGAATATTTCATCACCGCCGTCAAATCGCTCCGAATTTCTGACTGGATTTCGGGTTTTACTAAGGTTCTGAGACCTACTAAAAACTAGCTTTTAGTGACTGGGGCCCACATGCTCTGAAATTGGATTAAAGAGCTTGCCCCCCCCCCCCCAGGTTTTAAACATAAAAAGGAAGGGAAGCTAACCTCCGCGGCCTTGATGTACGCCGGAAGTCTGAGAAAAACACCTACAGTACTGGGGAGGAGTCCAGGCCATGGTCGTTGAGAATGTTTGTGAACGCCAAAAAAAGAAGTGAGGAACGCGGAATACAAAATGGCATGTTCCCAAATTACAACCATTAAAACAGTGCTGTTCAGAATATTTCATCACCGCCGTCAAATCGCTCCGAATTTCTGACTGGATTTCGGGTTTTACTAAGGTTCTGAGACCTACTAAAAACTAGCTTTTAGTGACTGGGGCCCACATGCTCTGAAATTGGATTAAAGAGCTTGCCCCCCCCCCCAAGGTTTTAAAATAGAAAAAAAGGGTTGCGCAAGAGGCTGGGGGTAGGAAGTGTGGACTCAGCCCCTTTAAGCAAAATTTCCGCATTAGGTGAGGCTTCTGCAGTGTTAAAACCACGTGAACTGGGAAAGGAGAAAATGGAAGGTGGCGAAGAGAGATTATCAGAAAACAAGCTCTGAAAAACGATCATCACACTGCAATTCGATAAAAACATTGCTGAACCTTGTCCCTGCAGCCTGCCCTTCCCCATTTCTTCACTCACTCATTCCAAATTTAGCTGAAAACATAGTAATTTGTAGATTACTGTGAAGCCTAATAATTTTACTGGTCTGGTTCATAAACTGAAGATTAAAATGCGTATTTGTGTAGTAAAGCAACATAAAATAACCAGCCCTGTACAGATGCACAAATACAATGGGATAAAATCTGAAGAGGCACACACATAGCCGAAATTCCTATAGTTTACATTTTTAAGGTCTCTTACTGGACTTGAAAGTGCCTTAAAGTCGCCAATATCTGAGTTTTTGTACCCTTGCCAGGATCACTCTAAACAGGTAAATACTTCACACAGGAAGAAATTTTATTTATGTATAGTTCAGGAAATACTTAGCACCACAGATGTTAAGCAAATCTAAGGAATCTTTTGAAACAAATAGCTAATCATTGGGCTAGTCACAGTGCTAAGCAGACACTGTACTGTATGATGCCACTTAATCCTGACAACAGTATACAGGATTGGTATTAGATATGTCCTGCTGTCACAGAGAAAAGTTGCAGTGAAGAACTCTGTGCAAAGAGCAATTTGGTATATTTCGAAGATTTCAGCTGTAGGGGACAGATGGCTACACAGAGGTAAATGTGACACTCTGCAAAGCGGATCCACATGAGAAGGTTCCAGTTTGTGTCCAGAGACCTCCCTGAGCACGCAGATGGATGGCAGCGTGAAGACCCTGTTGGCGGTACCTGTCTCGTTTGTTCTTTTGCTCATGAAAGAAAGAAATTTAAAAAAGAAAAAAAAAAAAACACCTTGGGGGCCAGCTAGGCAAGGTGACTGGATCTCTTATGACTGATGACAGTTTGAGTCCCAGACCCAGCAGCCTGAAAAACATGCTGGGCATGGCATGCATGTGTGCCCAAAATCCCAAGAGGCAAATGGAAAAAGGATTGCAAAGTAGTCATACACACCCCTCCCCCAACAGGAGTGTGACAGCTTTTTTACTTTCCCTCTTTCTCTCTCAAGTGAACTCATGCACTCAAGCAAACTGAAAAAAAAAAAAAAAAAAAAAAAAAAAACCCAGAAAAAAGCCCTTGGTACATATTTCCAAAATTGCTTTCCAAAATGGCTTTACATTGAAAAAGCCCAAACGTAGTCAATTCAATTACTTTTTTTTTTTTTTTTGGAGAAGGTTTTGCTATAGGGTGCGTGCACTTATCAGAGAGAGACAGCGAGACAGAAAGCAAGAGATCACCTCCCTGGGGGGATGGCCATGATGCAATCCCTTCTCCTCTTGGGATTTTGGGTATGCATGCACATAGGCCCAGCATAATTCTCAAGCCGCCAGGTCTGATATGGGAACCATGCAATCAGCCATATGGAATCCAGTGTCTTAACCTCCACGTTATCTGCTGGCCCCATAACTGGTACCTTTATGGGAAAAAGATTATGACACAGAGTGCACAGATAAAAGTTCATATTAAGACAGAAGATGGCCATTAACAAGCTAAGAAAGAGCTCTGTCAATACTTAGATCTCAGACTTTTAGTCTCTAAAATTATGAAAAAATGGTCTATTTATTTAGCCACTTAGTCTGTGGCACTTTTATTTTGGAGAGGTTTTTGCTATAGGGCGCGTGCGCTCGCCAGACAGAGAGAGACAGAGACAGAAAGCGAGAAATCACCCCCCAGGGGGGATGGTCACACCGCAATCCCTTCTCCTCCATTCTCCTCTCGGGATCTTGGGCACGCACACACACGCGCCCGGCGTCAGTTTTAAGCCACCAGGTCTGGGACGCGAACCACGATCAACTACGTGGGAGTCCAGCGACATAGCCATTACACTAACTGCTGGTTCCCTCTGTGGCACTTTTTCATGGCAGTCCGAAGAAACTAATATAAGGTATTATATTAAAAAATGTTATTTCAATGGTTTGCAGGTGGTATGGTGGTTCATGTGTTGGAATTTGGTTGTATTGTGAAGGTATTAAGAGAAGCCTTAATCTATTTGTAATGTTGAGAGCTGGGGTTTTATGGAAAGGATTAGACAGACATCAGACTGGGGCCACCAGGACTAAATCCTGTTGAGTTTTTTTGGGGGGAGACAGAGACATAAACATACATGCATGAATGTGCACATAGGTATATACACATTCTCCTGGTCTGCTGTCTTGCCGTGTGATCCACCAGCAAGAAGACCCTTACCAGATACAGCTACTGGATCATAGGTCTCCAAACCATGAGATGAATACACTTCCATTCTTATAAATTACCCAATCACAGTATACTCTGTTAAAAGCAATCTAATGGAATAGAACAGACCCTTTACTAAAACTCTAAAGACCAGAGAAAATAGCAACTATATCGGCTGGCCTTTCTACACCATCTATTTATCCTGTCCTCCTTCTTTCTAACTGCATAAAGTGAATAATTAATTAAAGTTAATACTTCAAGGATATGAACTAGATATGAAAGAGTATATAATTAGGGTATTCAAAAATGCCTGCATTTAATAGAAGCACAGCATTAAAAATAAGGGTAACAAAAATTAAAGTTTTTATATTAAAATCAAAGAAATACATTGGATAATGGTTATATTAAACAATATGCTCTACACTGGGGATAAAAGCTGTGGGCTCCTCTTAGTGCCACCATTGGTCATAAACAAGCAGAAGGATGATGCAATCTCTGTCACCATTGAAACTGGATAAACTACAACAGTCATTTGAGCAAATAGTTTGACTAATATTCATCCAGGTCTATTATGGCTATTGAGCAAATGGGTTGGCATGAATAGTTATATCCTTAATGTGTACATCATTAAGAGGTCGGTATGTCTTCTCATTTACTGGTAACTTCTCCAATTCATCTAGAGTCTCCAGACCATCTATTACCCTGAAACAAAAACAATATAGTCCATGAAAATTTCTTCAAATTAAAATATAATATCAAAATATTTCTAGCAATTATAGTCTCCTTGAGAAAGGACCATGTTTTATAGTTCTTTGAGGTCTCTAGTTAACTGTACAACAAAATAGTGATTTTCTGCCACTGATATGGATCAAAATTCAGAAATAAAAAATTTCATGTTCTTAGTCATGTTCTTTCCACCATATTTCCACCAAAGTAACTGAAATTAAATTCTCCATTTTTATAGTTGTCACATAGAATAGCTACAAGTGGGCCTAATAGAGACAGTTAAAGGGAAAACAAAATTATCCATGCTCTCACAACATTTCTGACACCAAACATGGGTTTTCTCAGTTCCCCAAGTGTCTTGAGTGTTCTTCAATTTAGCTCTGATAGTAACTACTCAGAGTTAGCGAAGACCACACAGGTTTAGTCCCAGAGTGCCCTCCACTTCAAAAACCAGTTCCAGGGAACCAGCAGTTAGCATAATGGCTATGTCACTGGACTCCCACGTAGTTGACCGCGGTTCGTGTCCCGGACACGGTGGCTTAAAACTCACGCCGGGCGCGTGTGCGTGCGTGCCCAAGATCCCGAGAGGAGAATGGAGGAGAAGGGATTGCGGTGTGACCATCCCCCCTGGGGGGTGATTTCTTGCTTTCTGTCTCTATGTCTCTCTCTGTCTGTCTGGCAAGCGCACGTGCCCTATAGTGAAAATCTCTCCCAAAAAAAAAAAAAAAAAAAAAACCAGTTCCAGGTCCCAAGTTGTGATCTATACCTCTGACCAGCCAGATATTACATTGGAGGTTAGGTTCAATAATTTGCAAGAATTGCTCCCAGAACTCATGACAGAGCTTTACTTACTACTATTGGTTATTTTAAAGAATACATCTTAGAACAGTCAAATGCAAGAGATGTACATAGCAAGGTACAGGGAGTGTGGAGCTTCCATACTCTCTCCAAGTGTTTCACCCCCTCCAGCACCAATATACATTCACTAACACAGAAATTCTCCAATCCTGTTTATGGTTTATATGGAGATTCCATTATGCAGGCATGATTGAGAAAATCATTGTTCACTGGTGACTAAACTCAACCTCTAGCCCTTCTCCTCTTTCTGGAGGTCAGAGGTTGGGACTTGGGGGTACGACTGGCTCCTCTGATAACCAGCCCTCATTTTGTAACTACCAAAGGGCCCACCAAGAATCACCTCAGTAGCATAAACTCAGGTATGGTCAAAAGAGGCTCATAAGTAGCAGAATATTCTTGTCATTCCTGTGACTCAGGAAATTCCAAGGGTAATTTCAGGAGCTCTTTGCTTTGAACCAGGGATGCGGATCAAATGACCAAACATAAAACACACATGCACACGTATACTTTAATGAGAGACTTCTGACAGGGTCTTAGACTGTTGTGTGACCCTGCTGCCCCAGCATCCCTCTTAGGTAGGAGCACAAGGTATGTGCTTCCATGCCTGGCCTGTTCTTGGTTGGGCTGATAATCAAACCTTGGCCTTCCATGTGGCCTCAACCTCCAAGGAGAATCATTTTAGAAGCACATGTCACTGGGGCTCAGCCCAAATACTATTTTTTTGTTATATCATGACATCACCCCAGTCACTGAAATTTTCTTTCTATAGGAAATATCTAGAGAAAGTATGTAATGATGACATTATTATCATCAGTATTATTCTCCCAACATTGACCATCCTTAAGTAGGCAGCCACTATATGCTTTATTGTTTAAATTTGGAGTTTCTACTTTTTGCTTCTAAACAGTAGCAACTAATAATAATAAAAATAGAAGAAAAGATTGACAGTTAATTCAGTCTCTGGCAAACTCACTTCCTGTTATCACTAAGAAAAAAACATACCCAGAGTTATTCTTCTAATACATGTTCTGGAAATTTGATCCTAAGACATCTGCTAAGAAAAAGTGGCTTTTATGGGGCCAAGAGGTGGTGGTAGTTAAGGCACTGGACTCCCATGTGGCTCACCATGGTCCCAGTCCTGGACCCAGTGGCTTGAAAATCGCAGCAGGCACGAGTGTACTTGTGCCCAAAACTCAAAAGAAGAACAAAGGAGAAGAGATTATGGTGTGGCCATTCTGCCACACCACTCCTGCCCCATGTGATTTCTCACTTTTCCTCTCTCTCTTTCTCTCTGGTGAGCATACATGCCCTGAGGCAAAAACAAAAACAAAAATAACCAAACAAAAAAGAAAATCTAGCTTTTATATTATACCTCTTAATAAAACTCAGACCAATTCCTAAGATTTATAATACTTTCAAAAAAGATAACAAATTTAGGGAACCAGCAGTTAGCATAATAGCTATGTTGCTGGACTCCCACGTAGTCGACAGCGGTTCGCGTCTCGGACCCGGTGGCTTAAATCTCACACCGGCGCGTGTGCATGCATGCCCAAGGTCCCGAGAGGAGAATGGAGGAGAAGGGACTGCGGCGTGACCATCCCCCCTGGGGGGTGATTTCTCACTTTCTGTCTCTGTCTGTCTGGCGAGCGCATGCGCCCTATAGCGAAAACCTCTCCAAAAAAAAATAAATAAATTTACATTTTATTTCACATTACCACTAAAATAGTACTTTAAAACATTTGATTTTACACCTAAATGTAGGGGACAGTTAAAGTCATTAAATTTTAAGTCTCTGGGCCAGCAGGTGGTGAGCTGGTTAAGGCACTGAATTCCCACATGGCAGACCATGTTTCAAGTCCTGGACCCAGGAGCTCAAAAATCATGTCAGGCATGTGTGCATGTGCATGTATGCCCAAAACCCCAAGAAAACAGAGAAAAAGTGACTAAAGTGTGGTCATACCCCCAAAGGGTGATTTCTTACTTTCCATCTCCCTGGTGAGCAGCCCCTATGGCAAAAATCCAAAATAATATTTTTGAGAATTGGGTAACCGCAGATGGCCTAATGGTTATGTCACTTCCACATGGCTGACCGCAGTTTCAGTCCCGGACCTGGAAGCTTGAAACTCATGCCAGGCACTTGTGCATGTGTATCCAAAATCCCAAGAGGAGAATGGAGAAGGAACTGAGGGGTAACTTTTCACTTGTCTTTCCGTCTCTCTCTGTCTCTCCAGTGAGCACATGTGCCCTAATAGCAAAAATCTCTTTTAAAAAAAAAACTAAGTCTTAAAGGCTTTTCCATCTTAAGAATCAGTAAGAAACAGAGAAAGTAAGAAACAGATCTCAGGAGGGGGAACAAAAGACAGAAAGAACTGTGGCAGGTTAAATCTAGTCGAATACCTGGGACATGGGCCTCTGAGAACCAGAAAAGCGTGTGTACATTTACATATAACACTTAGTTGCAAGGGATTAGTGAACCTAAGGTTAATCCTGTTCTAAACACTAGTTTTGTCACAAGCCCAGTAAGAGAAATGCCAGTAATTGCTGATCAAGAATTCTGATGATTAAGAGACCAGCTGCTGCGTAATGGCTATGTCGCTGAACTCCCATGTAGTTGACCACGGTTTGACTGGGACCCGGTGGCTTAAACTTACGCCGGGTGTGTGTGTGTGCATGCCCAAGATCCCGAGACAAGAATGGAGGGGAAGGGATTGTGGCGTGGTCATCCCCGGTGGGGGGTGATTTATCACTTTCTGTTTCTCTGTCTCTCTCTCTCTTTCTGGCAAGCGCAAGCGCCCTGTAACAAAAACCTCTCCAAAAAAAAAAGGAATTATGATGATTGGTTGGTTCAGGGAGAAAATAAAAGGAAGGGAAACTGAGTTACCTACATATACACAAAGACTAGATGCTAATATTTCATTAATTTGTTTTTATGTATATAATGGATAAATTAGATACCTGCATATGAAGTGAAAAAGAAAACTTATATAGTCCTTTTTTCTTTAGATTTTTAAATCTTTTAAAAGTTTATTTCTTTCTTTTATGAGAATGTGTGACAGGAAGAGACAGGAAGCCAAATGTACACAACAAGGTTTCACGCTATGAACCCATCCTCCACACGCCCTGGCCAGTCAGGATCATGGGTGCACATGCCAGCGTGCAGGACCATTGTGGAAGAGAACCATGACCCAGACTTCCTTGAACAGCATGTTCTCACTGTGCCATCCAGCCAGCCCAAGTCCATTGTTTTTAATTAATCCAACTTGGCATCCCAACTTAAATAAAACAAACTCTAGAACTAAGCCTTGTGTTTTCTTTTTGTGTTTTTTTTAGAGAGGTTTTCGCTATAGGGTGCGTGCACTCGCCAGACAAACAGAGAGAGAGACATAGAGACAGAAAGCGAGAAATCACCCCCCAGGGGGGATGGTCACGCGCAATCCCTTCTCCTCCATTCTCCTCTCAGGATCTTGGGCATGCACGCACACGCGCCCTGTGTGAATTTTAAGTCACTGGGTCCAGGACGTGAACCGCGGTCGACTACGTGGGAGTCCAGCAACATAGCCATTACGCTAACTGCTGGTTCCCTAGAACTAAGCCTTGTGTTTTAACAGAGCATGGTAAATAATAGGTTGTCAGCAAAGTCATGACATGTTTTTCTATGTAAAAATGTATCATGAGTTTCCTGATAACCCATTATTTGTTGAATTAAAAGATGGATTTACTTCCCACTAATCTATAAAAGTGACCCCCAGAGACAGAGCTTCCAATGAATGTTCTGGCAGAGACTGCTAAACATCACTCTAAGATCCACTCTTTCTTTCACCTCACTCAAAAAAACCTGATTTTCTAGAGGCTGGTAATATATCCAGCTTAAAAAACAAGATGTCTTTCCTGTTGGGCGTGGCTGTGTTACTAAGGGCTGGTGTCTTCCAGAAAACTGTTTAAAAAGGGCTGACTCAGCTTACAAGTGCCTTTTGTCCTCCTTCCTTTCTGCCTGAAACACAGTTTTTTTTTTTGGAGAGGTTTTTGCTATAGGGCGCATGCGCTCGCCAGACAGAGAGAGAAATAGAGACAGAAAGCGAGAAATCACCCCCCAGGGTGGATGGTCCCTCCTCAATCACTGCTCCTCCATTCTCCTCTCGGGATCTTGGGCGGGCACACACGCACACGCGTCTGGCATGAGTTTTAAGCCACTGGGTCCAGGACACAAACCGCGGTCGACCACGTGGGAGTCCAGTGCCATAGCCATTACGCTAACTGCTGGTTCCCGAAACACAGGTTTTGACTGAAGCTGTGCTGTCCATTTTATGACCATGAGGTGAGCCCAAGGATAGAAGATAAAGATGGTTAAAGGAAAGATGGAGGCGCTAGAATACTGGTGAAATAAAGGAATCGCCCTACCCATCCACCTTATTTAAGTTGTTATTTTTCAGATCTCTGAGTTGCTGTGAAATGCTACATTTTTTTCAGTATTTTTTTTTTTTTGCCTTAAGGCGTATGTGCTTGTGTGTGTGTGTGGGGGGGAGAGACACACAGTGAGAGGGAAGGTGAGAAATCACCCCCCAGGGGGGATGGCCACTGCGCCATTCCTTCTTCATTCTCCTCCTGGGATCATGGGCAGGTGCACGCCTGCATCCAGCATGAGTTTCAAGCTACCAAGTTTTTGTTTTTTTTTTTTTTTTCTGAGAGGTTTTCGCTATAGGGCACGTGCACTCATCAGACAGACAGAGAGAGACATAGAGACAGAAAGCGAGAAATCACCCCCCAGGGGAGATGGTCATGCCGCAATCCCTTCTCCTCCATTTTCCTCTCGGGATTGGGCACACACGCACACACGCCTGGCGTGAGTTTTAAGTCACCGGGTCCGGGATGCGAACCACGGTCGACTACGTGGGAGTCCAGCGACATAGCCATTACACTAACTGCTGGTTTCCAAGCCACCAAGTTTGAGACTACAACTGTGGTCAGCCATGTGGGAGTGCAGCAACATAACTTCTCCACCATCTGCTGGTCCCTGAAAGGTTTTCTTTTTTTTTCTTTTTTTTTTTTAAGGGAGATTTTTGCTACAGGCCACATGTGCTCACTGGAAAGACAGAAACAGACAAAAAGGGAAAAGTCACCTCCAAGGAGTGACAGCCACTCCACGACCCCTTCTCTTCCATTCTCCTCCCAGGATCTTAGGCTTGCATGCATATGCACCAGAGTGAGTTTTAAGCTGTCAGGTCCGGGACTCAAACTGCGGTAGACTGTATGGGAATCCAGCAACGTAACCATTACACCATCTGCTGGTCCCAGTTTTTTAAAAAGAATTTATTCATTTATTTCTTCCATGAGAGAGAGAAAAAAAGACAAATAAGGCACCCATATTAGAATCTTCATGCCCCAATCCACCCCTAACTTCAGTCTGTCTGGATCACAGATAAACATACATGTCTGGTGTCTTTATTTTTTTTTGGGGGGGGGAGAGATTTTTGCTATAGGGTGGGTGCACTCGCCAGACAGACAGAAAGCAAGAAATCATCCCCCAGCGGGGATGGCCATGCTGTAATCCCTTCTCCTCCATTCTCCTCTCGGGACCTTGGGCACACATGCACACGCGCCCGGCGTGAGTTTTAAGCCACCAGGTCCGGGACGCGAACCACGGTCGACTACATGGGAGTCCAGCGACATAGCCATTACACTAACTTTGGGCACCCCCCTTTTAAAAAAAAAAAAGGTTTTTAAAAGGCATGTGCACTTGCCAGTGAGACAGAAAGATAAAGTGAGAAATCACTCCCAGTGGGATGGACACACCACAATCTCTTCTTCTCCATTCTCCTTTGGGGTTTTTTGACATGCACACATACAAGCCCAGCGTGATTTTCCAGCCCCTGGGCCTGGGACTCAAACCATGGTTGGACATGTGAGAATCCGGTGCTTTAACCACTATCCCAACTGATGGCCTCATGCCTGGTATCTTCAGGGAGGTTCTGGGACACAAATCTAGGACCTTCCCACGTGGTTCCAGTTGTGTAACTGCTGCGCCAACTGCCTGGTCCCTCAAATGCTATCCTCTGTCTAGTAATTTAAAATAATAAATAAAATAAATAATTAACAAAATGAAATGCTACTCATGCTACATACACATTACTATTAGGTTTTACAGTAATCTTGGGAAAAAATGTCAGCTCTTCTTTTACAAAATAAGGAAAATGAGGCTTAGCAAGGTCATAACTTTCCAAAGGTCACAGGAAGGGTAAGTTGTAAACCCCAGGTACATCTAGCTCTTATATCGCTTTTTCCCATATTAGTTAAGCTATAAACACAGCCACACCGATGCACCCCTGAGTTGGTAGGCCAAAGAAAACTATAATCAGAATACTGTACTCACTTTCCAAATACCGTGTATTTCATGTCCAAATGTGGTTGTTTGCCATAGGTGATGAAGAACTGAGAACCATTGGTATTTGGACCATTATTAGCCATAGATACAACGCCTCTAACATTATGCTGGAAAAGACAGACCAAAGTATTCATTTAACTGTGTTTTTACATAAATATACAGTTGAGACAAAAATGCACTCTTTATTGTCCCAATGTTTAAAAGACCAAGAAAACAAACATGTAAGCAGCTTCTATTAGAACTAATCCAAATGTTCAGTTTCTGTATTATTTGTATCCCTGAAATGTAAATTGTTTATGTATCAAATAATTTCTCCCAATTAATTCCTTTTTCGCTTTGGAGATGTGCAATCACAAACATTTTTGGTAATATCAATATATAATAGAAATAATCCTTACATTTATATTAAGGAATAGTGTGCTGGCATGAAACGATCAGGTAGACAACAAAACCATAATCCCCATAATCTCTTCTCAATACACTGGACTCTCGCTAGTTTCTTTATCTGTAAAACAAGGGAGGTTGGACTAGTTCAGGGGTCTATACGTAATTCAGAGGCTCACAGGGGTTAAGCAAATAGTAAATTGAGAACTGGGCAGAATGTGCTTTGGGATAGATGGAGTCTAGCAAAATGGCTAGGAGTCTAGCAAAATGGCTAGTGTATCTCTGGCCTAATGGCATTGAATTCTTTTTTCAGTCAATGGTCATAGAGAATGCATCTGTGGGTTTTCTCAGCATAATTCCAGCACTGGATGATCTATGAAAACCGCATCTAGTTCGGGACCAGCAGTTGGCATAATGGCTATGTCACTGGACTCCCATGTAGTCAATCATGGTTCGAGTCCCGGACCCAGTGGCTTAAAACTCACACTGGGCACATGTGCGTGCATGCCCAAGATCCCAAGAGGAGAATGGAGAAGGGATTGTGGCTTAGCCATCCCCCCTGGGGGGTGATTTCTCGCTTTCTGTCTCTGACGAGCATACCCACCCTATAGCGAAAACCTCTCAAAAAAAAAAAAAAAAATCTCATCTAGTTCTAACATCATCCACTATTTGCTTACAATGAACTGTGTTCACGAATTAAAAGGTCTTAGTGATTAAGATAGAAAACACAACTGAGAATCATGTTACAGTGATACAAAATAAACTGCAATAATGCCACTGATTACTCTAGTTTTAGCTATTCATCAAATGACACAAATAAGTAGGATTTTTTTTTTTAATTTGATAGAGCATATGTGTGTGCTTGTCAGAGATAAACAAAACAACAGAGTGGGGAAAGGAGAAAGCATGCATGGGGCATGGTCATACCACAATCCCTTCTCCTCCATTTCTCCCTCCTTTTGGGATTTTGAGCATGTACACGTATATGCCCAGTATTTTTTTCAAGCTGCTGAGTCTGAGACTTGTGTCATGTAGTTGACCATGTGGGATCCAGATGCTTTAAATGCCGTTTCACTGGTTAGCCCAAGTGACACAAATTAGACACAGAGATGTAACTACATCAACATATTTATGTTTTATCACCCTAAAAGATCACTACTAGGCTAACAGGTGGCAAGGACATTAAGGCAGCTAAATCCCACAGGGCCAACTGCACAGTTTGATTCCTGGACTTGGTAGTTTGAAAATCATGCTGGAAGCTTATGTGTATGTGCCCAAAATCTCAAGAAAAGAATGGAGAAGGGACTGGGGCATGGCCATACCCTCTGAGGGTGATTTCTAACTTGACTTCTCTGTGTCTCAGAAAAATATAAACACAGGAAATTAAAAAGCTCCTAATTTTATAGTGAAGAGTTATTCATATGCACTTCTCCTTAATCTACTTGAGATCTACCATAACTATTAACTAGAGTTAATATGTTAAGATTTGGGGCTGGCAGATGATGTGGTGGTTAAGGGTGCTGAACTCCTACACGGGCAACCGTGGTTCAACTCCTGGACCTGGTGGCTTGCTTTCCCACTTCCCCCACCCCCGTCCCTCTCTAGTCAAAATTAAAACTAAATAAAATGGATAAAGTTAAATAAAAAATAATTCTTTAGAAAAAATACAGTAAGGTTCAAACATCTAACAGAATATGGTAAAAGTTGAATATTAATAACCAGGAGATGGCATAGTGGTTTCATCACTGGACTCACACATATTCGACCATGGTTCGAGTCCTGGACCTGGCAGCTTAAAACTTGCTGGATGTATGTGTGTGCGTGCCCAAAATTTTGAGAGGAGAAGAGTGTGTGACCAGCCTCCTAGAGAGGTGATTTCTAGCTTTCTGTCTCTCTGGCAAAGTGTGCATGCCTTACAGCAAGAAAAGCTCTTAAAAAATAAATAATAGGAACTATTGTACCCAGGAGTTCTGAGAGTCGCTCCTCTTCACTCTCAAAAAAGACCAATGATTTATGTTATTCAGGATGAACTTTTAGGTTAATTATTTCAGGTTGGGTTCAAAGATGAGCTCCCTTAGTATCAAAATCCATGTCATGGTGAGACTCCAGGATACGTGTCAGGGTAGAACTGCCGTTTATAGGGACCAGCAGTTAGCGTAATGGCTATGTTGTTGGACTCCCATGTAGTCAACCGCGGTTTGCGTCCCAGACCCAGTGGCTTAAAACTCACGCCGGGCGCGTGTGCGTGCATGCCCAAGATCCCGAGAGGAGAATGGAGGAGAAGGGATTGCGGGGTGGCCATCCCCCCTGGGGGGTGATTTCTCGCTTTCTGTCTCTCTGTCTCTCTCTGTCTGTCTGGCAAGTGCACGTACCCTATAGCAAAAAACAACAAAAAAAAAACACCTCTCCAAAAGAACTGCCATTTATATTTTTTTCCCCTGACATCTTTTATCAAGTGTGCAAAAACTTATATTCATATAGTAATGTTGTTAACTTGATTACAACACATGTATCAAAGTTTCCGAGCATAACCAAGGCGTGAGAAAACAAACTTTGGCAGCACTGGTAATATACCTTAAGATATTCACTGTATTCATCCTCAAACTTCTTGCCCCAGATACTGTTACCTCCTCTTCCTGTACCTACATTATAAAACAAGGAAATCAAAAGAGGTAATTTCCCCCTGCACAAGGGTGAAGAGATAGGGTACCCCAAGGGGAAGGGCTGTAGATTGAGAAAGAACAGACAGATAAAAGCGGGGATCCGGCTCTCATTCTTAGGGAAGGCAAAGTCTCATGCTTCAGCTGTGGAGCACCTCTTGTGGTTCTAAACAAGGCTCCCCTGGCCTTCTCAGGCTGACGCTCAGGTTTCTTCTATCTGTAAAGCCCAGCATTAGATTATGTTTCTGTTTAGAGCTTTCACATACCCTTCAGTGACAACACAAAGACTGTGTCTTAGGCACTCCCTGCAACTTTAATTCAAGTTGCAAAAAGGTTGTTCAGTTTCTAAAACTCAAGGGCTACTTTACATCATAAATCTTTAAATACAAGTGAAATTTAACGTAGCCTCTAGCACTTGCCCAAATTTTACCTTAGAGTCCAGAAAAAAGATTCCAACAAAAAATAAAAAGGAATAATCCTCCTTATCAATATTGTTCATATTTTAGAGGCAGAGGGTGATAGCTTTTGCTTAAATTGTATTGCTATTATAAAGGACTCTGGGAATAGCAAGTGGCATGATGGTTAAGGTGCTAGATATCACCTGGCCGATTGCACAACTGAAGTTCTGGACCTAACGGATTAAAAAACATGCAGGGGATTGTACACATGAGTGTCCAAAATCCCAAGAGGAGAATGGAGGAGAAGGGATTATAGCATGGCCATCCCCCAAGGTGGTGATTTCTCACTTTCCTTTTTCTCTCTCTCTCTCTCTCTCTAGTGAACACATGTACCCTAGAGCCCTACAGCAAAATAACTAAAAAATGAATAATAATAATAATAAATAAGGCACTCTGGTTAAAAAACTTCAACATGCTCTTATTTTCCTAATCCTATTTCCCCCTCATCTTCACAATATACATCTACTTCCCTAGATCTTAGTTAATCGAATAACTTACCTGTTGGATCTCCTGTTTGAACCATGAAACCCTTAATATTCCTATGAAAAATACAGCCATTGTAGTAATTGCTTGCACAAAGAGCCAAGAAATTCTGGAGAATAAAAATAATGATGGAAAAATGATGCATCAGAAACACATTTAAGATAAATAACCAATGATATATACTGAAACACTATAGCAGCATATTTTTACAGTGACTCTTAGGTATTACTTTGGATTATGTCACTTCCATGCTTAAAACACTTCAATAGCTTCTTCCTGCTCTTGGAATTAAATACAAACTCCTCAGCAGGGCCTCGCCAGTCCTGTATGACCTGGAGCAACTCTACCTCTCATCTGATAATACTCTGGTCAGGATTCCAATGGTTCATCCAAAAGGGGCAGGCTTTCCCACCTTGGGGCCTTTCCACCTATTTCTATACCTGGAGATGTCCTTTGTATGTCTCTTTCCATGGAGATGCCTTCATGCCTTCTGTACTCAGTGTCCTTCTGTATCACTGTCCTGGATAGGCCTGCCCCCACCTTCTTCTGTCAAGGAGCTCTTTTCCCTTTACTCTCTACCTCAACACTTTATTTTTCTCAAGGCATTATTACCTTTTAGAATTATGTCATTTCCTGACTTTCCCTATTCTCCCACCTAGAATATTAATTCTACCAGGGCAAGGAATGTCTCTTGCTGATCACTGTACCCCCAGACTCCCGACAAGACGACCTTTATAAACAACTGAACAAAGTAAATCTACACTGGTGACTCTTCTTCCTTCTATCTTTATGGTTTCAACTAGGAGAAAACAGCGTATAGATTAGTTCTTAATCTAATATCCTATCTAGCCTAATATCCTAATGATTACATTTCCTGAGGAAAATGAGTCAAAAGGAAAAGATACTAGCCACTCTGGCTACAGAAAAACAATCTCCCTTCTCTTTGACCCACCTCAGACATGAGGAAAGGTAAGTAGAAATTAGGCCACAAGTTATGATGGGCAGTTTTTACTGACAATGATTTTATAAAAGTTTTGCTGTTGTTCAAGTTTAATTATTTGATTTCCTAATAGTTATCCTGTTGCATTAATTGATTTATTTTTTTAATTGCTACAAGGTATGTACATTCCCTGAAGACAGGGATGGGGTGAGAAGGTAGTGAGAAAGCATCCCCCATGGGAGATGGTCATATCATAATCCCTTCTCTTCCATTTCTCCTTTCAAGGTTTTGGGCACACACACACACACACACACACACACACACACACACACACGTCCACATGTTTCTCAAGTCACCAGGACACAAACTCTGTGGTCACCATGTGGGACCCAGTCACCTTAACCACACCACTGGCTGACCTCTGAGATTTAGTATGTAAATAGTGGCACTCACCTCACATGTTTTGGGTGTCCTCTCACAGAAGACTTCTATTTTAATGTCACCTACATCAGTATGCAAGGTCACAGACTAAATAGAGAATGTTAAGAACAAATGAGATATCTCCAGGTAACTATGTTAATTCTCTGACTGGCTATTCAAAATGACAATCTGGGGCCAACAGGTGATATGGCTGTTAAAGGCGATGGACTCCCAAACGGCCGACCACAGTTCGAGCCTCGGACATGGCAGTTTGCTTTCTCTTTTCTTCACTTTCTCTCACTCTCATTCTGTCCCTCTCTGGTCAAAAAATTAAATAAATAAATAAAGTTAAATAAAAAATAATTCTTTTGGGACCAGAAGTTGGCTATTAAAAACATGTATTTTTAGTTGCTAAAGGGCATGTACACTCTCCAGAGAGAGACAGGGAGAGAGAGGGAGAAAGCAGTCCCCAGTGGGTAGTGGTAACGCCAAAGTCCTTGCTCTTCCATTTCTCCATCCTGTCTGGAGTTTGGGACTGCATGCACATGCACCCAGAGGGTTTTTCAAGCTGCTAGGGTCAAGATTTGAACCATGGTCAGCCATGTGGGATCTGGTTCTCTTACCACTAGGCTATGAGGCCTAGTGCTACTTAGTGCTCTGCTACCATATTTGGAAGCAAACACAATAGAAATAATTATTTTAAGTTTGGATTTTCTTCACCAATAAAAATAAAAACAGATTGGGACCAGCAGTTAGCGTACTGGCTATGTCGCTGGACTCCCATGTAATCGACTGCAGTTCAAGGCCCAGACCCAGTGGCTTAAACTCACACTGGGCACGTGTGCATGCGTGCCCAAGATCCCGAGAGGAGAATGGAGAAGGGATTGTGGCGTGGCCATCCCCACTGGGGGTGATTTCTTGCTTTCTGTCTCTCTGGTTCTCTTTGTCTTTCTGGTGAGCACATGTGCCCTATAGCAAAAACTTCTCCAAAAAAATAAAATAAATAAAATAAAAACAAATGCTGTTAGTATTATTGATCTTTATGGTAATTCACCAACATCATTAATATTCCTTAAAAAAATGGTAATAAAATGATTTTTCAAAACAGTTTCCACCACTTTCCTTAAGTAACTGAATTCTGAGAAATATGGTTAAAAACAATTCCTTTCTTGAATAAAGACAACAAACATAAAATATTGGTGTTTCTATATACTAAATGCACAGAGATAACCATAATGCTCTCTTGCTCTCTCTCTCTCCTCATTTTTTTCTTGGCTAGAAGACACAAGTTCTCACCAGGGAGAGAGAGGAAAGGGAGAAGTACTCCCCAGTGGGCATGGTCATACTGCCATCCCTCCTCCTCCATTTCTCTATCCTGTCAGGATTTTTGTTGGCCAAGTGGATACAGCTCTCTTAACCAGTAGGCCATGGGGGCTGGCCCATTATAATGAGCTTCCTTGTTTGCTGTTTTTTTTTTTTTAAAGGGTTTTTGACATAGGCCACTTGAGCTCACCAGACAGAGAGAGACAGAGAGGAAAAGTGAGAAATTACCCACAAGAGGAATGACCATATTGCAATCTCTTCTCCTCTTGAGTTTTTGGGCATTCATACATACACACCCAGTATGTTTTTCAAGCTGCTGGATCTAGGACTTGAACCATGGTTAGCCATGTGGGAGTCCGGTGTTCTAACCACCATGCTACCTGCTGGCTGCACTGTTTTGTCTTTTGTTGTAACTACTTTGTCGTTCCATTTCTCTTCCCTGTCTAAGCGCATCTAGCAGTCAGAGTACTGGTCACGCTGGTGATGCAGATTAGTGTGTGTATGCACAGGGTACAGGAGCACTGTTTTTGCAGTTTTTCTCCTACTCCAAGTTCTAGTTGTCTACCTTAGATCAAAAGCAAAAGACTCCCATTATAATGTTCATGCCTGCCTATTCTATCCCTCCCACTCTCCCTTTTCATCTTTACTTTGCAATCAGTATTTTCTCCATAAAAGGTAAAATCTGTCCATATTAAGTGAAATCATTAAGGAATTTAAAAGTAGTTTTGTTGGGCCAGTCCATGGAGTGGCTGTTAGAGTTGTAGGATCCCACATGGTCAATTGCATGTTTTAAGTGTCAGATGCCACAGCTTAAGAAACACACCGAGGTGGGGGTGGGGGGCAGTAGGTGACACAGTGGTTAAGGCACTGGACTCCCACATGGTCGACCATGGTTTGAGTCCTGGACCTGATGGCTTGAAACACACCAGGTGCACGTGCATGCACGACCCAAATCATGAGAGAATGGAAAAGGGATTATACTGTGGCTATCCTCCCTAGGGGGTGATTTCTCACTTTCGCTCTGTCTCTCTGGCAAGCTCACCCATCCTACAACCAAAAAAAAAAAAAAAACAAAAAACAAACAAACAAACAAACAAAAAAACCTCTCTATGAGAAAAAAGAACAAATACCCCAGGCATATGTGTGTGCATGCCTAAAATCCTGAAAGTAGGGGAAAAAAAAATCCTGAAAGTAAGGAGAAATGAAGAAGGGAAACATCACGTGTGTGTGTGTATGTGGGGAAATGGTAGGAATGCTGCCTTCTTGTTTTCCTTCTCTCTATGGTGAGTGCATGTGCTCTCTAAATTTTTAAAAAGTCATTTTATTTCCATTTCATTTATTGCCAGAGGGTGTGTGTGCTCACCAGAGAAAGAGGAGAGCAAGCAAAAGTACCTTTCAATGGGAAATAGCCATGCCTCAATCCTTATTTCTTCATCCTGCAAGGACTTTGGGCATGTACACACATGCACCTGGTATGTTTTTCAACCCCTCTGGGGCTGAGGTTCAAAATTATAGTTCAGGGGTCAGCAGGTGGTGTGATGGTTAAGGTACTGGACCTCCCACGTGGCTAATCACAGCTTGAGTCCTGGACCTGGTGGTTTGAAACTCATGTCAGGCATAAGTACCCAAAATCCAGAGAAGAGAATGGAGAAGAGATTACAGCATGGTCATCCCCCCTGGGAGGTGATTTCTTACTTTCTTTCTCTCCATCTCTTAATAAGTGCACGTGCTCTATAGCAAAAATCTCAAAAAAAAAAAAAAAAATCACATTTGGCCATGTGGGATCTAGCTTCCTATGACCTGGGCTATTAGGCTGGTCCTTTTTTTTTTTTCTTTTAAAGAGAGATTTTTGCTATAGGGCACAT